CATCCTGCTAGCATCATGTTATATGTATATTCTGGTTGAATACATTTAACATGCAGTTATTCCTTGCAGATATCATCAAATTTTTTGGTTGTGTATGGCAGAACCATACTTTGCAGCTGATTAACTTTCTTTGTAGGAGAAGCATTTCACATATATCTGGTACATCAAACTTCATGTTAAGCTCGATAACCCCAAATACAGAAGAACATGTTGCAGTATCAGTTCATCATGACATATACATATGTTAGTGGAGAGTGGCGTGAAACACATACAATAAAAATGGTGTTGTTTCAATTATCCATAACACAATGTTCAATGTGCAGTTGCCTCGAATTAGGTCGTATGAGAGAGTAACGAAGATGTGTTGAGACCTGTATCAATATTCCAGCAATATCATGACAGAGGACGCCAGAAATAGCCTCACATTGCATAGGATGTTTGTCGTCAACATTTATCTTTGTTTTAATACTTGGCACTGACATTTATATTTCATGGTCTCTTCTCTTATTTCACAACACATCGTAAGGCATGTGGGACATGCGAGGGTGGCAGAAACGTTCTGAGCCTAAGTAGCATGTGCTGCATAGATGGAGTTGTTATTTGCAAAACAATGCTGATGAAGCAAGCTTGCTCCTGGAGGGCATCTTTCCGAAGCAAGCGAGTTAACTGACTATAAAAGTCCAGTTTCCACATTTGCCGAACTAGGCTGGTATTATGGAGTTACATTTTGGTTGGACTAACGAGTTGATGCATAGTCCAATCAAAATCAAGCACCGAAATCAAAATCCGGTTCGTAAAGTGTCATGTAGATTTCGGTCGACTGCAGGATTTGCAAAGCATGTACACCGCTAACTCGTTGTCAACAGATATTTTCTAAAACTTTTCATGTTTTTAATCAAGGTGCTCACGTGATTTCATGCACGTCGCGATTGAAGGCTCGTTTTATCACAATATAGATCTTGATTATCGATCATATCGTTTTGACTGGGCGCCACCGTTTTGTTTGGAGCAAATGCAAGTGATACGAGAGGTTGAATCTGATTGGTCAATAGTATAGGAGAGGCAAAGAAAGGACATAACTTGTAATAGCCACTGGTGGCGCTAAAATCGAGCCCAGGAATTCCAGCCTAGTTCGGCAAGGGTGGAAACTGGACTTTTATTGTCAGTTAACACACTTGCCTCGGGAAGATGCCTGGAGGGGTGAAAAGTCCCTAACCGCAGAAATCCAAATTTGCATAATGCTTGCCAGAGAGCTCTTTCTTCAACTTTCGGAAGAGAGGGAAATCTGAATTAGACAAATCTGTTGATTATTCGATTATTCGAGACACTGTCATGCATTGCAGCCATTGCGACAACAGACTTGTGCTTAGGTGCATTGCTCAGGCGTACTTACATATCTTTACTGATAATATGCCGCATGATATTGGCCATTAAGTGTAGGATCTGTAATTTCCACCCATTACGATTAATGCAATACACAATCACTTGAACTGCTTCTGTGAGGGAATCATGTCCTTTTTTCGTTTCACGTGATCTTAGTGAAAGTATTACTATTTCCAAGTCAACAGCTGCTGCCACTGAGATGTTAAGTATGAACGACACTTGTCCTTTAGGATTTCCACCTTGAGCTGGCCGCTTCCCTCAATACAAGCTCTTGTGTCAATGCTTTCAGACGATTCTTTGCAAGAAGAGGACATCCCAAGAAAGTTTGGACTGATAATGGAACGAATCTAGTAGGCTGTGAGAGGGAAATGAGAGAAGACATACACTTATGGAATATCGAACAACTGCATCAGACTTTCCTCCAGAGGAACATTTCGTGGGAGTTCAATCCTCCATCCGCCTCTCATCACGGTGGGGTATGGGAGCGCATGATACGTACCATAAGGAGGATCTTGTACTCTCTTCTGCACAGTCAAGTCATACATTTAGATGACGATGGTCTTCATACTCTCTTCTGCGAGGTCGAGGTTATCGTTAACAGTCGACCGATTACCACTGTGACAAATGATGTCAAGGACCTGACACCATTGACACCCAATGATCTACTAATGCTTCGAAGTGGTGGAGCACTACCTCCAGGACTATTTAGAGCAGACGACTGTTACGCCAAAAGACAATGGAGGCGGATACAGTATCTGTCTGATTCATTCTGGAAGCGATGGTCAAAGGAATATCTCACCATGTTACAGGAAAGAGTAAAATGGACTCGTGTCCGAAAGAACATTAGTGTAAATGATATTGTCTTGGTCATGGACAATTTGCCTCGAAATTCATGGAGCCTTGGGCGAGTAGTCGAAGTGTATGCCGACAGAAAAGGATTTGTTCGCATCGTGAGGATCAAAACACCCACATCAACTGTGCTGCGTCCCATAAGCAAACTCTGTGTACTTCTGGAAGTGAACAGTGACTCAGTTAACAGCTAGAACGTGGCATATGAAAGATGCCTTTGATAATGACATTAAAGACACATGCAAATGTATTCCAAGAATCTTACTTATGTGCAAAAGATCAGTCATGTTAAACAGTATAATTGTTTCATTCGTACTCCACAATAAGGGGGTCGGAAGGTTGGATTCTGATCAATTGTTTGGATTAATTTTATATTTAAGCGGTCATCATTTAAGTTGTAAAGGGAAGTAACTTTTATGTTGTTGTTGGTATCGCTATGAGCAAGAGACTGTGCTGTGAGCGGGAGGCCGTGGAGGTTATAAAACGGTAATTATGCAATTAAATACAAAACTTCAGTAACCGAGAAGTAAGACATTATTAATGTGACCGTTTATTTTCATATTTGCGTCTAAATATTAGTATATTCATAGACGTTTCTGCATTATTTTGCAGTCAATCAAGCCGACAGCGCTACCTTAGTATTTCGTGGCAACGGCACCCTTCAACTAGAACAAGAAACTGTAAGAATATGAAACTAAGAATTAGAATAAATGATGAAGTTGAAGAATGATTTGACGTCCTCAATTCTCGAAACCCACACTGAGTGTTCTGTCGAATCCTAGATGGTCCTTTAGCATGATCCTCGGTTTGTCAGCACCATACCCGTTCTCCTGTGCTTTAATCCCACATTCAACTGACATAATGACTGACTGACTGACTGACATCTTACTGAGATACAGTAAAAAAAGAGCAATATCTGTATATTTCTACATGCATATTTCCTCCATGGAGATTATAACCACACCCGATTGGTGATGACCTCGGTTTTTTCGTTTAAACGTAAGGAAGTGATTTGGTCACATTCAGTTTTCAGATTGAGTTCTTACTTTGAGAAGGAAAATTAAGCAGAATCATTTTGATTTGTAGAATATTTAAGCGGTTCGAGGACTGCTTATCTCAGTCTACGCCACTCACGAAACATCTGTTTCAACCACGCTTCATGGCAGACAGAATATTTGAAAATAACCCTAAAATATCATCTCTATGTACACGACGTGAAAACAATTATCTGCTACAATTCAGGTGCATTACCTTCAACCCAGGAGGTAGTCGCCAACAGTTTACCAACAGCAGTCACAGTGAGCAACTGCATGTGCAGGTCGACACGCCCATGGACTGGGATTCAAACACATGCAGACAAGTATTTGAAACTCTTCTCTTTGGAATGTCTACGCAGGCCTATCCTAAAACATGCATTATCTCACACGTGAGTAAGTTGAAGAAAAGTGTTTTTCCAATGTACAAATATCGTCATACGGTACGTTTGTTCATTCCAACTGTTCTGTGAATGATTTTGCTACATGTAGCTTCACGTGATAGTTTCTCAGTCAATGACCTGTTCCATGACAGTGAAAACACACGTGCGCATTATAAGATGTTTTAAAATCTAACTCATAACTACTCCACACTTTTCAGCATTTTCTTGTCGATAAAGATGCAAAAGACAAGACAAGATTTCTATTGACTTAACTATTTGATAGGAGAGTGGCCTCAATCGTCAGCAAGAAAACCAAATACATAGTTCGATTTAACCCAGGCTCGACATACCCGACTCGATCATATTCACGTCTGATCTAGCCATCAGTAAACAAACAAACCACTTCGTAAAAACATGTAATGAAGACAAAAACATTCTTCACACATACATCTGGATTATCAACTGATCAGGGTTACTTTTAACTCATCTTTAACTCTTGGAACTACAAATTGAGATTGAGATTATTTGGAATTCGACACATCCATTTTGACACATTCGGGTTAAATTAGTGATAAATGTTTGCCGAGGTCGTACTGCGAGTTCGACACAACCGAACACATAAACGTTCGAAATAGCAGGGTTCGACTTTACGTTCATTGAATAGACCTAAAACTGTCCGTATATGAATACGTTGTCATGATTGTAAGCTCTATAGTACCTTAAATCAATAGTGTCAACGGAAAGGGTGATTCATGTGTGAGAACTCCCTCTTTGTTTGAGGAATATGCCGTATGTAAATTATATTGTCATATTTCAGTTTCACCAATTTCCAATGTGTCGGAAATATTCACTTTAACTATGTTATTTATAAAATCGGTCAAATTCAAATAAAATGTGTAAATAGTGTTTTCCACCATTGTAACCTTCAAGCTATATCAAGAAGGCTTCCAAATGGTGTATTTGGATCAAGCAAACCACTGGTTGATATCACTAGCAACTGTTTACGACGCCTATGGCACGCAGTTACTCAGATCACACTTATGATGTACATTTATTGGCTTTACGATAAGCACGGAGCTCCCAACAAACACATATCTCCCTGCGTCGTCATGCACGGTCTGCTTTTTTTACCTGGTGGAGAAACTCGTCTATATAGACAAGCTTAAACAACATATGTCTACTCTACAACAAGTGATGAAACTTATCGTATTATTCATTATAGCATGTGTCCAAACGGCTGTAGAGTCTGTGTTTCGTCATGTGTGGAGCAAGTTGTCATAAAAACCGACACGAGCCACAGTCTCTTTTGTCCAAAGAATTTCACTGCACGGTTTCACACAATAAGCAGATATTCACAGGACCGTAATCATCTTCCTGGTCTGTGCTGCAATATGTGACGATGGCGGCGTGTGTCGGTGTTGTGTTCTTGTTTGCCTGCCTCAGTGTCGTAGCTGGTAAGTCATTTTATTACGTATAGGTGTACGTATATCTATGTACGTTATGACAGTCAAGTTGTGTCATTTATATAGTTTAAAACGTATCAGTTCACTGTGTTCCTAACGTAATCACTGTGTGGTGAACAGTAATCTATCTCCCTTCTACAGGTTAATTTAGAAAGTAGTATGACCAGTTTTACACAAAACGAGTCGTGTCGCACCACCCGACATTAACCCTACCATGGCAGAATCACCAGACTTGTTAGTGTGAGGATGTCAGCCGTGATACAATAGGTACGGTGAGTGAGTGAGTGAGTGAGTTGGGTTTAACGCCGCTTTTAACAGTATTCCAGTTACATCACGGCGTGTCAGCTTGATGTGGGAGGAAAGCCCGAAGTGATGCAGGTCTCAGACGTTTACCACTTTGGTGAAACCCACGGGCATGGGTATGGTGCTGACAAACCTAGAAACATAATTGGAGTGAACCGGGATTCGAACCCACAATCATAGGTTTCTGGCGTGTCCAGGGGACGCAACTCTGCACAGCGAATCGCGGCGTCTCAGACGACTGGGCCACCCGTGCCCCCCAACAGGTACAGTGTATTCGGGAAAGCATAATACTCATGAGCAAAAGCAGAGTTACACTTTAAATGAGCCTGTTAGTATGTCACTTTACCGGACGGGCTATAGGGGCATGGTGTCCCAAAAGCGTTGGTTAAGGGAATAATGTGCAATGGCTGTATCGCTATCCCATTGCTGTGTTCAGGGTGACACCAGCGTGACAAGACATGGAGAACAGTCACACATGGGAAGCCTACCAGGGTATGGGTCAGACAGATGTTTTCACAAACCTGTTTTTCTTTTTCCAGTGAATATGGCATAGTGACATTCGTGATCACATGACGTTACTTATACTGTATGGAATGCACGGAAGAATTGTCCTCAACACAATATGTAAACGAAATTGTAAAGCAATTCTATTCATATATAAAGATCTGCGTTGATGCCTGACTACGTGTCTTCTGTTCTTTATTCCGTGTACCTTGTACATCGGTTTTACCTTCAGGCGGTGTCATACTGAGTCATTACTGACTGCCGTGAATTTGTGAACACATGTACTGTACTTAAAACTATACCACTTTATATCTGTAAACACATATACTATCTGCACAACTTTACATCTTTGAACACATATAATATATGTACAACTACGAACACTGTGTTGATCATGAACATCCATACACATACTGTGGAGGCTATGAAACTGCCAATATGCCGAATGTGCTCTCATGTGGAGTGTAACGGTCTGTACTTGATGCATATAATTTATGCATCATTTCTGTTACAGGTGACTGTACGCCAGGTAAATACGGCTACAGATGCAGCTACCAGTGTCACTGTCCCCTGGTCAATTGTAACCCTACTTCCGGTTGTCAACCTGCACATTGTTCAGAGGGATGGTCCGGTCCGACTTGTCAGAATGGTAAGCATGAGAATGTGGATTGTTTCAATCAATGCAGTTACAACAATTTACATTTGGTAGCAACGTGCATGAACTGCATCTTAGGATACATTCGTACAGAGTATACATGTATGAACGCTGACCGGAATGTTGATATAGATAAAGCGACAAAACCTTTTCATATCCAACAGAAATATGTATATAAAATATAAACTGACCTGAAAACTGGTCCTGTCATATTTTGACATGTTCCTCGTTGCTATGTATTATCCATATACTAGTACATATGGTCATCGCTCTTATGGTGTCTGCTTTATTCGCTCCTTTTTACATTACCATAACATGATGTTTATGTTATTTAGGAATCACTCTGTTGTATGTCACAGAAAATATAGCCCTAAACAAGACAACATCATCAAGTAGTGTCTTTTTCCCATCATCGAACGCCGTCAATGGGGACACAAGAGGCGGTGATGAACACAGATGTTTTCATTCAGTGTATGATGATGCCAGTATAACATCTGCCTGGTGGAGAGTGGATCTCGGAAAGGAAACACTGGTGCGTGACGTCGTCATATACTTCAGAACTAATTGTGAGTATTACGCCAGATGTTCATTAAACATGTTCTACTGGCAGCACAGCATGGTGCAGTCGACACAGGCAGAGAGTATTGTCGGCTCGTCACATTTATGGACCACGATAACAGCGGCTCTGCTGACATAATGACAACTGAATACATATCAGAGCAGCAGATCATTGACTGTTTCTTTTATTGGCGACCTGCATATTAGCATGTACTAACATCGAAATGGCAACTTGGGATGCAGAAAATAGCAAAATGGATGACAAATATATCATGGATCAACCATATTTAAGAACTAACTTTAAGTTGGGGAAAAAGCATCATCACGTCTCTCTTATTAATATGATTGTATATTATATCAAGTAAAATATAATAATAAAGTGATATTAATGTGGACGCAGCATTAAACAAACATCACTTGTCTCTCCTATGTGACACTGGCACGGTCATTGAATGAACTGTTGGATTAAACGGAGCCATAGAGTACTTACTGTACTACAAAACCTCACTGTTATGTAAATACTGGAGCATATGAGTCAAAATACTATGTCCTACTGAAAGACAGAGACCCAGTTGGGTCGATAAATGATATTTCCAATTTACTCTGAGGTCATGTTGAACAGTGTTAATGCAATTGTGTGTCATTACATAATCACCATTTCGAGGAGTGATGGGGTAGCCCAGACGTTAAAGCGTTCCCTCGTCACGCAGAAGGCCCAGGTTCGATTCCCCACATAGGTTCACATCCTTGTGTCTCCCACCGTAATATTGCTGGAATATTGCTAAAAGCGGCATAAAACAATACTCACTGACTTGAACTATTTCGACCAACTCTGATCTCACTTACACACTCTGCATACATCAAAATAGCCGCATAAATAATCGAAAATGATTTTGAATTTGGCCACATATCCTGTTGTTCAAAGTAATGAATGTTGTTGTCTGTTGCGACGTGGTTAGTTCCATGCCATGCCATGCATATTGTTGTGCTTTAGGATATAGGAGGGTGTTAGTAATCAGATGGTGACACTTTCTACTATCACTTCACTTTGTGTAAAATACTAAGTTAATAACATATTTACAGTATCTAAAAATGCTGTTTTATTTCTCATTGTGTGTGTCTTACTGCGACTGGGAAGACCATTCTCTGTCATAGGTGTTGGGACAGAAGAAGGCTTTCGTGAATAACAATATACATAAATGATCTTAATGCACGAATTGAACCTGAATGTAACAGCTCTATAGATTATAGTTGGGCTAGGACATAACTTTAGACATCGTTCATCTGCGAATCATGATGCTAGCAGCAACAAAACCTGAATGAATGTCCTGCTAGGAATCATTGTCATAGTGTCAAAACATCATGAATCAATGTCCACGGATACAACATTGTCCTGGCAGGATAATATATGATAAATCTTCGACCCATGGTCCTAGTACCAACATATCCACATTGGAAAACGTTCGGTTTTACATGATAGCCAAATACGGAATAGGTGCGTAAATCAGTTTATATTGCACACGTACGTACGCATCCATGTCACAGATCATGCTCGTCGTGGCCTTAAGTTTAACGTCATTAATCTGTTCTCCAAACTGATAGATGTCAAATACCGTCAGGTTTCAAAATTATTGGGATTCATTTTCTTGCTAACTGTTCCAGATAAGATAAAATGAAATAGGTCGAGTCGAATAAGGACTTGTAGTTAAATAGATAATGCAGGAAAAAATATTTCACTGAAATATGATAGTCTGGAGTATGCATACGGGGTAAATGGTTTTCCTCTTAAGAATGTCCATTGTAATCATCTGCTTTATGACACAGACATGTGGGACTACATTTGCAACCGACACACTGCTGAAACGTTGGTGGATAATGCTGTAATTCATGTTGTAATTCATCACTGACTAGCGCCCGTACGAAATACTAGATTTCATCGATTGCCATTACACTTTTCATACGTAACAGACATATTTCGTCGGAACGGTATCCAGATATACATCGCTGATACTGACGCCTCCCCAACTGATGGAGTCAACTGCTACACCATGACAGGAAACAGAAACGGGACGGACATACCTGATGTTTTGAACGTCACGTGTTCTGGTGAAGGACGCTTTCTGGTCCTGTACACCACAACTGTAAACAACGAGAAAAACAATGTCAACGTACCCGTCCTGGATTTTTGTGAAGTGAAGGTTGAAGGTTGGGTCATTTATGGTATTTCCTGTTCTTGAATATATACAAACAAATAAATACGTGATCTGATATTAAAAAAAAATTAATCGTTTGGTGTGAATATGAATTTCTCATGTGTTATTTCTAATATCGCATACTTGTTGTCGCGGAAATAACTGACACATTGGTTGTGGATATTGCATTCTTCGTGCTGTAAACATGATGTACATTTTTAAAATGTGTTTTGTCCGTATAATCATACGTGGACTTCACTGCGATGTTGTATTATATTTACTACAATGTTTTTCTTGGATATTGTAGGAATTATAGCATCATTTTACTGGCAAAATCTTGGTACACATTGTGTATCTTTTTCGCATTCGTCCTCAATCTCTCAGTTCGTTAATTGCCTACACTGGAAATGCTACTTGATTGTTTTGGTGTATTGCATTATAAGTGTGTGGCCCTGGTACCTTCGGTGCTGACTGTGACAACTACTGCCACTGTGACGGCGAGGTGTGTAACTACGTGAGCGGCGTCTGTCCGAGTGGAGACTGTCTACCAGGCTGGCAACCAGACAAGTGTGACACGGGTTTGTATAGTTACAGGACTTCTATTGTTAAATTGTGTATCATTACAGTTGATATCAATGTTCTGTGGTTAAGGTTTCTTTACAATGAACGAAAAGTGAATGAATAGCAAGTGTAAAATAAACGTTATTTTTTCAGTGTGTGTATTTGGCGGCTACGGAACAAACTGTAATGGGCGATGCTCAGACAGACACTGCAAGGGCGACGACTCTAGCTGTGCTCACGTTACGGGGAAGTGTGTTGAGGGCTGTAAGGCAGGATGGAATGGAACTGACTGTACACAGAGTAAGAGTATTGCAGACAGAATATTTACACGAAAATATTCCTCTGAAACATAGTTTAAACTATACCAATTAACAAAAAAGGTATGAGTGTTGTTTCTTACAATAATATATACACTATGTTTAAGAACGATTGTTCTGGGTCTTACTTTTTAACAATTAAGACAATTTCTATCTATTTCTACATGTACCTCTGCAAGTAATACATAATGACAGACACAATCAAAGTGATGGGGTACGTGTACGTTTCCGACGGGGGAACCTCTGGCGATTAGGTGTCATTTCTCCATTGGCCGATCATTCAAACGTGATTATACCGATGTGTCGTCTATGTGGTAAAGAAAATTGATAGATTGCTGTAGCAAGTCGGTGACTGCCACTGTCAGTCGAGGCACGGATCGAGTCGATAGTGTGGGTGTTCAGTTCTTCATTTTGTTCATGACAGTTGGTCGTAACGAGATAATGTATGTACATAAATTATAACAGGGAACGTAACGCCATTATTCACACGTCACTTTACTTATGCATCCCATGTCCTTATTCCAGAATGTGTAAATTCCTACGGAGAAGGCTGTGTCAACCTGTGTTCCTCTAGGAGTTGTAGTGGAAACTCTTCCTGTAATCACGTGACCGGGCATTGTGAAAATGGCTGCATACCCGGATGGAAACATATTGATTGTACAGAAGGTCAGTTTGCCCATCATTCACTATTTATCATATTATTGCCTCTTATAATTTGCTTGAGTTCACATCTTGGACAAATATATTCTTTTTCCCGTCTACAGCCTGTGTCCAAGGAGTGGAATATGACGCTGGTTGTGTTGGAAACTGCAGTGCCCGGATGTGTAAGGGAGGGAATATCAACTGTCACCGGGACACAGGCCGATGTGAGTCAGGATGTCAGCCAGGGTGGAAAGGAGAAGACTGTACTACTGGTAAACGGCATCGACAAGTGTTATATTGAAGTTCATGATGTGCATAGAATCATAACATAAGTCTAATAAATAAAATAACTGTACATTTTACCCATCTTTGACTTGGCACACTGGTTAATGATGAATTTCTTTAAGAACTAATGTCTATACGCTCTTAGTTCGTTTCTGTATACAGCTTGTATTCTTTTCATTGGCAGCATGTATAACATGGGTGGGGGGTGGAGCTGGTTGTTTGGGTAACTGCAGTGCCCGGATGTGTGAAGGAGGGTCAGGCACAAGACCCTGGCATACATATTCCTTTTTTTCCATCTACAGCCTGTGTCCAAGGTGTGGAATATGGAGCAGCATGTGTGGGTAACTGCAGTGCCCGGATGTGTAAAGGAGGGAATGTCACCTGTCCCCGTGATACAGGGCAGTGTGAATCAGGATGTCAGTCAGGGTGGAAGGGGGAAGACTGCACTCAAGGTAAGAAACTTTCCATATTCCATTTAATGCATGTGTACATATTTATTTACACAAATTTGGCTCCGGGGTACAATAGGTCTTCAGCAACCCATGCTTGCCGTAAAAGGTGACTATGCTTGTCGTAAAAAGACGACTAAAGGGATCGGGTGGTCAGGCTCGCTGACTTGGTTGATGCATGTCATCGATCCCAAATGCGTGGATCAATGCTCATGCTATCAATCACTGGATTGTCTGGTCCAGACTCGATTATTTACAGACCGCCGTCATATAGCTGGATATTGCTGAGTGCGGCGTTAAACAACAAACGAACCATCCAACCAACACAAATTTGGCTGGTAAAGACAGTAGTTCACTTCCATGAAAACAATGCTTCTTGATTAAACAATTGTATAGGATACATATTGAGCCGTTCGTAAAAGATAACTTAAAAACTATACTGTCATATCTTTCGTAAAACACTAGTCGCATGTCTCGAAGCATATTGATTGTACAGAAGGTTAATGTCCTCTCCATTTATTATTGATGATATACTCTTCAAAGAAAGGAACGCAAAACGGATATTTTTGGCAAGACAAGCAAAAGTAGCAGACCAAGAAGTGCAAAATGAAGAGGTTTAATGTTTGATAGTGTCAGTGACAAATTTTCCGGATCAAAATGATCACAAAATGGACATGCAAACCATTAGTCCGGAAACACGTACGAGTCGGAAAAAAACCCGTACCAAGTGCATTAACAAAAGGGCCATGGGGCTGCACGTACTGCACGTGCAACAGCACTATGAACTGTCTTAAAGTGCAGGGTTTTTGATTGCCTGGCATCTACGTTAATCAAACAGTGACAGTATTTTCCTACCAGCCTCAAATCAGGCTTTGCGTTTCTTTTTTTGAAGAATATATTATTGCCACTCAGGATACGCATGACTACACATCTTGGACGCATGCAATACAGGTCAGTGCGAGTTAGGATGTCAGTTGGGGTGGCAACGCGAATATTGTACCAAGGGTAAATGACACGTAACTGTGTTGTGATAATTTGGATAGAATTGTTACAGAAATCTGAATTTATTTGTAGATTACGTTGTGAATTTGTGTCAGCTCACAAATGACATCCTGGTTATAGTAGAAGTATGTGGTACATTGTGGGCTGAGTGTCATGAACAAATGGTTTGGTTGTTTTCCTAATTGTTTTCCGTCTACAGCCTGTATCCAAGGTTTGAAATACGGCGCTGGATGTCTTGATAACTGCACTACCCGCATGTGTGAGGGAGGGACCGGCACCTGTCCCCGGGATACAGGTCGCTGTGAGTCAGGATGTCAGTCAGGGTGGAAGGGAGAAGACTGTACTTCAGGTAATAGACGTAAGAAAGTGTCACACTCCACTTAATACATGTGTGAATTCTAGTGAAAGAAATGTATTTTACCCTACTCCAAAACGTCATGCTGGATTTCTTGCACACTGTTGTGACTCAAGTTCAGAACAAGTCCTAAATACGCAATTCATATTGCAATCAATACGGTATAAAGTTGCTTTAAAACGTTATGACAACGTTGTAATGTACACAGTGTAAACTGATCAGTCAATATAACATTACCCTTTACAGATACACACGTAATAATAAACAAAAAGCAATTGAATTTAACATTCTCTGGACAAACGTATATCTGTTCCTAGCATGTGTCCAAGGAGATGAATACGGAGCTGGATGTAAAGGTAGCTGCCGTGCCCGGAAGTGCCTTGGAGAGTCGGGCTCCTGTCCCCGGGATACAGGCCGGTGTGAGGATGGGTGTCAGTCTGGATGGGAGGGAGAGGACTGCGCCAAAGGTAAGAGGACAATAGGCGTCATGACTTAATCCAGCTCTACTGAACTATTACGAAATGGAAATTTAACTGCAACTGCGACTAACTTCGTATATAGCTCACTTATTGACAAACTTCGACCACAGTGGCTCAAACAGAAACTTTATGTTTTCGTTGTTTTAGTGGCATAGGTATTTTACTTTCAATATTGATAAAGAATGAATAAATTTGTAATTTATGAGTATACATATATAAACCGTTTGTGTCCATCCTGTTCTGAAACTAGATACATTGATAAATCCGATAAACACATACAAACAATTTCGAAGATGATTTGTTTTCGTGATCAAAGGCAACACCACTTCCTGAGAAAACGTTTAATGGTTCGCAGGTTCTTAGGTTCCAAAGGGAAATTGCCAACATTGCTTTCTGCGATGATAGGCTTACGACAGGCCTAAGGAAAAAGGAGGTGATTCGGTTGTGAGCAGTATCCGTAGAATGGTCTTGACCACTAACGACGCTCGTATCAGTTATCAAAGGGGGATCATCGTCAGCATAATGTATTCCGTCTGAAGTAATGATTATTTATTAGCGTCCGTGTGTAACACATGTTACAGACATCAATAAGAAGATATACTGTAAAGAATTATTTCTGACAATAATCGTGTAATTCCCCTTAACTGCATTTACTCTGCGGGAACAGATCTTGTCATTTCAAGATGACTTAACTTTTTTTTCTTTCATTTAAGTTGTGTCAAAAGCAAATCATATCGATATAACATTGCTTGTTAAACATTTGTGTAAATGCCGAGTAAGAGATGGCAATTTACCTGTGACACACAATTTTGGTCGATTTACGTTACCGGTTACATTGGAATGCGATAAACCAATTGAGGGTATATTCTCACACTTACAGAAAACAAAGTAAGTTCCAATTCCTTAAATAAACGACACAGTTCATTGTTGATTAACGAGCGTACTTTTTATTAATTTTATATCTGAAATAACATAATATTGTCACCCGACTTTCACCTCAAAGAAATCACCAATTGTGAACAACAATGTTGATGTATGACATCTACGTTTACAAAATGGCGTGTCCATTGACATCAGTATGAGAGATTTTACGAGGAGTCTTTCGTTATTTCGGGTTGTAGCTTTCACAGGTGAGCTTGAAATATACGTGATACAAGAGGCATCTCAAAACAGACGTGATTTTGTAAACACTATCCAAAAGGGCAGAAAGTTCACTTTGGCGTTCTTGTTTGCATATTTTCCAAAACATTCCACATGTAATGTTAGCGGCGACGTTTCACAATGACCATTGCTGATTTGTTTAAAAAAAAACATTACCAGCGATCACTACAATGTTATTTTTTTAAATTAAATTCTCCGAGTAAATATTATGTGAGGTGAAATGGGGTTTAACGTCGCGTCCAAGATTATTGCACTCATATAGCGACGTGCATGTACATGTGTGTGTTTGTGTGGCTGCTTGTACTAGTCCGGACTGATGCCGATTTATAGTGCTAGCTCACTGAGATACCATGCCGCAGTTAAACATGAATGCCCCACTCAGACACAGTATACTGACTCCGAGCCGACCAGTCCTTGTTTTAGCCCCTTAATGCCGAGCGCCAGACAGGGTAACAACAAGTACCATCTTTTAACGTCTTTTGGTATGACGCGGTCGGGGATCGAACCCCGGACCTTCCGCTCTCCAGGCGGACGCTCTACCACTAGACCACGGAGTCAGTCGGGTATATATTAAAAAAATTGATTTAAAAATATACACTAAATATATGATTATTTAGTAATGTATTACAAATGTCGAAATTGACTATATACCGAACTTTCAGAGGCCATACAGTAATTTTCCATTGCCTAAAATGAGAGTTCCAACAGAATTTCCAACCTCAGAGTATATTGTGTTCGGGATGAATTTTGAATTTAAGTGAACGTCTAAGTAGTCATGTTTGAAGAGGGACACACGCATACATGTGTTAGAAATGTTAATTTATTGACCAATATTGCGGATTCTAAAGATCGTGGTAAGCAAGGAAGACGACAGAGAAATGTTCAACTCGAGATTCCTCATGAATAGTAGTTAAGGTAAAAAAGTGTATAAACTTCAAAGGTGAAGTTTATACTTGGTACACGTCACATGTAGAAGTTCGTTGACAAATGAAAATTCCCATATTTCAAATAAATAGATAATGAATAGTGGTTCAGGTCAAAAAGCGAAAGGTTTAAGTTTATGCTTTGTAAACGTCACATTTAGAAGAATGTTGACAATTGAACGGGCCAATTATATCACCAGAAATCTCTTTAAAACTTTAAAATAAGTACTTATATCTATATGCCCTAATAATGTTAATAATCTCGGATAACCTAAATCTTAATTGTCTCTTATCTTATTCTCATCTTCATCTTGATCCTGATCTAACTTTAAGAAATCGGAGCCTAAACCATCATTTCATACCCATCACGTAAAACCCTAGACATCTACACATTTGGTAAGTATAACGTTCAAATATAAGCATACCACGGTTGCTTGAAGATTTCATGCACGAAAATAAACATTCCCATTTTTCAAATTAATAGAGGGAGGGTAGCTGGTGTAAAATATGAAATATATATATATGTATGTTTTACAGTACGTACACATATTGTATATATTGAACTTTGAAGTTGCACGGTTGGTGAATGAGAACTCTGTGGCCAGGACAGATCCTCCATTCAGTCACATCATTGGTGTTGTCATTGGATTGGTTGTGGGTGTCGTCCTAACACTGTTGCTGACAGGTGGCGTGCTTCTGAACCTGTTTATATATTTATATGTTTATATATATATACAAAAATGAGGTAAATGTTCACTCGGTGTAAATGTAATATATAATAAAATAATAAAGTCCACGTTAGTCCATCATCTTCTTTATATCAGTTTCATACTGATATAAAGAAGATGATGGACTAACGTGGACTTTATTATTTTATTATATATATATATAATATCTTATTTCTTCATGCACATCAACCATTTTTTTCCTGCAGGTTCTTATGGAGTCGTTGCCCTGTGAAGGGTGGAAAGGGAAAAGAGACAGCTGACTCCAGCATGACACTAGCAGACAACTACACATCTACATCCGAACTGCCACGCACTGATGGACGCAACACTCAAGACAAAGACTATGCTGGACTGGACACGGAAACGAGAGCTGACAACAAACACTATGACGTCATCCAGAATAAAGTATATGAAAACGCATAAACTCGAAGTGTGCACGTAGACATGTGACTGTACATAAGCTTCCAATGCAAGTTTATTGCCAATCTCGAAATTAGACCTGTTGTCGGTCATACAAGACGTGATTGAAGTAAGGCCTGATGGAGGTGACCCAAAAAAAATTCAGCTATCAAATGACTCCTCTGACAAAGTTAACGATGGTGACAGTAGCGGATTATCTTAATGCATAAAAAAACCTACAATAACGTTGTATTGATTTATATTCTTAATGTCACATTTGCCTCTTTTAAAGTTATGCACATATGGCCAAAATTAACCCATTAGGACCGGACACTAAGAGGAGATGGAGCCTGTATGTTATGCACCCTGTCGTCTGTTGAGGACGAGTTCCAATATCTCTCGGTTCATATGCCACAAATATTATCACCATTGATAAATACACCTGCAATAGAGAAAACCCCTAGAATCCGAACATATGTACACATCTTAAAAGAGCATATGCAAAGAAGCAAGCTTTTGTAACAGCCATGTTAAAAAAAAGTGTTTAGTCATTTGTTTTGTCAAATGTGAGAAATGAGCTCATTTTATATCTTGATCCATGTTGCACCTCAATGAATGTCACTCAGTTGAATGTAATGTACAGAATAGGTAGGATGGATGACATTGATATTTAACACTGTCTGAAAAAGGAGATATACCATTAAATAGAGACAATGCATAGTTGTAAGAGTATAGTTATGTCAATATGTGCAGCTGATATGCCCTACGTAAGGACGAGTTAGTATTTCATTATTTTATTGACTTAATACATGATGGGGACCAATTGTGCTCTCCTTCTTGCTGATCTCTTACACATATGAATCGTAATTTCTGTTCCGAGTGGCAAAGTCCAAATAAGGTAATTTGGCTGGGAGTTTAACTTAAGCTTTAGGTATATCGTAATCGTTGACAGCGTAGATATAGCTGCAATGAAATTGCATCACAATGCTTTGCAGACCATTGAGACGTCGTCGGTTACCATGACGTCACAATCAAATGACATCACTAATGGCTCTGCTACTGAAGCTGTTGTCAGTTACACGAACATAGCTTTCATATTTAATATGTAATTGTATTATATCGTCAGGTGTAAATATATTTCATAACTATTGTGCATGTCATTGTAAATATTTATCTTTGGGTATGGCCTTCAATTTCGTTCTGTGTATGAATTCGTCATTATTATTTAACAGTTCAGTAACATTTCAGTTGATTGATAAGTACATTTTCCTTATGTATTTACCTCATTTATCGCGCAGTTCTTACCTTTATTTACCGGTCAGTTTTCTGTAGAATGTATCTTCTTAGCTGTGTTCCATTTCCCGGTTTGTAGCAAGCTGCCATTTTATGTAACAGTCTGAGTAGACTTTTAGTTTCGTATCTCGTATTTAGCTTATTCAGTAGCTTCAACTCAATTTCTTATCATCTAAATATTTGATGTAATTATTCGTTTGTAGACTTAGTTCAATTAGGCTTTTATTGCTTTGTGCTTTGCTATATTTATTGTATCTTGTTTCGAATGAATTCGTTGATGACGTCACTCATCAACAGTGACAGTTGTATTCAGTTGAAGATTTGTTGTGCATGAGAGTAGACGTAGATTGTATGACGCTCCGATTTCGGATATGTTTATTTCTTTAAGTTTGGCCAAGTTGTAATTTATTCTAGTGTAATAATTATTGTTCATTGTTATATACATCTAATTACTATTAATTCAATAAATATAATTATTTATTGACTTCAATCACTTGTTGGTTGTATATTGGTGAAATTTATTTCATAAACTGTGAGTGTTGGGGGGGATTGAGGTTAACTGCCCCAAGCCTACCCCTGAAACCGTCACAGTGGTCATGTGGAGGACAATTCCAGATTTGATGCATCAGTGAAAATAAAGATGCCCGATGCAATTCACAATTTTATACTTATTCATAAACACATGATACAATCGTAATTGTAAAATTATGGCAGAGATTTCTTGTTGCTTTGGAAAGTTTTTTGTCCCTTTTACTAACCGTTGATATTTCCTTCGAGGCAAGAACGCATTTTCCTTTGTCTGTCTGATGGTCTTCAGTTATGAAACCTTCCCTAGCTTTATTTTACCATTGCAAACATATTTTGAAGAGACATCATTTTCACACTGGAACATGCCACTGTACTGTTGTGTTTGCTCAAGCAGCATACCACTTCCTCCAGTTCCTCCTCATTATCTTTACAATCCCTACATCATTAACAGACATCAAATTTTAATCGGCAATATGATCTCTAATGTTTCAGTCAGTCTAGAATGAAATATGAATTATCACTCGTATGTTAGTTAACGTCTATGTACCAACATTAAAGATACGTTGAAACAGTGTTAAAACATATGACTTACATAAATGGCTGACATTGTCTTGGGGTTTGGTGAATGATGGTCGTGATGGTTGCAGTCAGGATCCGAAGCCAATCCCTTGAAGAGATCTGGAGTTGGTACAAATAGTGAAGCATTACATGACAGTGGTAAACACGACGTCCGTTCTCAGCCAAATGATGTTCAGTGTGTTTGGTACTTACATTTGGTGATGGCTTTACCCATGTCTAAAAAACCTAGTTGCCACAAGCTAACGGACCTGCAGGAATTCACACTGACGACCAACCCATTAATGATAACGTGACACATGAGTCGAGTTTCAAGAGAGATGAGGTCTGTCCTGCAGCTGTAGTAAACACCAGCCTATAAACATGACTGAGGCATCGCGGTATTGACAATGTACAGCTTTCTATACTACTGGTAGAGCCCATGAGCATGTATCCAACTAGAATTCTTGCCATGTGTCTACATGTAATTCAGAAAAGTTATAACATCACGCCTACTCCATCCTCAGGTGATGCTAGTAACGACCGAATTGTTTCTTATCTTCTCTTTTATCACAGTCATGAGTCTTATCTGACTGACCCCTCTGCCTGCCGTTGGTTTAAGTCAGCAGCTTCACTGCTTCGTGTATGCATAATGCATAACCTTGATCTGAAACTATTTGATTTGCTGGGATTATGAGCAGTGTCGTATCTGAACATGCTAGTGTAATGAACTGTCTGGTCATTAGCATGTATATTACAAAGCAAGATACCCTTTTTATTCCCTGTTGTTACACAGCGTTGTATGGTCAGCAAAATTCTGCTGGCATCCTGGCATATTATAAATTATTTTACTGTATGACATAACATCATCCAAAGTAGTTTTACGCAGACGTATAAGTTGCAGTTGATTCAATTTCTTTGTAAGGGCAACATTTCACAACATATACTTATCCTAGTGGCGCGAAACACTCACAAATGACTAATGTGGTTTAAATGATTCATTACACAATGCACAATGTGCAGTTGCCTGGAATTTGACAAATATATGTTGTAGGTGTTTATCAATATTCCAGCAATATCATAACAGGGGACACCAGAAATGGGTTTGACATCCTGAACCGACGTGAAGTCATAATCGTGACTAGTCAACACTGTCATCACAATATGCAGCAGGAGAAAGAAGAGTTTGCCGACAGCTGTGAAGTCATAATCGTGACTAGTCAACACTGTCATCACAATATGCAGCAGGAGAAAGAAGAGTTTGCCGACAGCTGTAAAGTATCATATTATGTACGTCTTTTCTTGGCGAGAAGAACGACTATACTGTACATGACCGTTGTGGATAATCTGCGCATTGAGTAAATGTTATCACAGCGTTGACTGTCAGAGCTTGACTGTAGGACAAAGCGTCCAACTTCCTGGTGTACATATTCACTTGTCAAGATGGAGGGGCACAGGCTCGGAGTCCTGCTGTGTATCTGTGTCTGTGTGCTGGACTGTGTGTCAGGTAGGTGCTGAACAATGTACAAGGAATGGTTTTCCTTTGGAACGTTTCCTTTAAAACCATCTCTTGTTAAGGCATAAATAATCTTTAAGTTCAAGTTTATTGGGAATTGAGGGACTCATGCTGAGACGTAGTATATTGTACCTACTCACTTACCATCTCTAATTGTGGCCAGAGATAAACACATTTCAATGTTCATAAATCAACTGGGGATAGAGGGAAATAACAACAACTTTTCTAAATTGTAATATATATATCAGTTTCTAGAAACAGTTAGATGATAAAAATGAACAATTTGTGAACACATTACAACCGGCAATGACGTTTGACGGTAGAAGTTATGACAGCCAACGATCCTAAAAGGCAATCGAAAGGGGTGAAATGGATAATTTCAAAGTTAAAGGAGCATTCATTCACTCGGCGATGCATACTGCGTATGAGTCTCACACTGGCGATTTGATGGAGTCTTTCCAACTCCTCTTGCAGCGACTGGCCAAGTTCGACTAGGCGTATGCCGTTGACGACCAAAACGTCTTCCAGTCATGTCTCAGATGTTTAAATGGTCTCGGTTTATTACTTGCCAATGCATTGTATGATGTTGTGCTGCCTGAAGGAAGCATTTACGACACGTTGTGTACAGCATAGTCGTTTTTTGGCAATATGACAAGGGACGGCAAAACACGTGGCCATCGAGCAGATTAACTGCATGTTGACATTTCCTAATCATCTGACCCATAATTCATGCTCCAGTAACCTATTTGGTTCCCCGTTTAACCTTGATTGATTTTGTAGAGACTGGTTTCAGATCAGTCGGACCAGAAGTATACACACCACACAAGCATCTAAACATAGCACCCCCTGACTAAAGATCACTGTCCAAACACAATGCAATGACGTCTGCCGAATCTCAACAGACACAATGCAACACAGTCACAATGATTGTTAAACAAAAAAATACACTGCCACACTAAATGTGACATGAACTATGATGTCAAGTTATACAGAAATAAACGTTCTTGCATAGGATGTTTGTCGTCAACACCTAGCTTGGTTCTAGTACTTGGTATTGATTTATATTTCATGGTCTATACTCTTATTTCACAACACCCAGCATAAGGCTTGTGTGGGACGTACGGGCGTGGCTGAAACGTTCTGTACCTAACTCAAATGGACTGCATAAATTGAGTTAGTTTTAAAAACATGTTTCAACATAATCCACACACTTCTGCCAACGATGCTGGAGTGCCTGGATCACATTTGTGTAGAAGACTTCCGCCTGGGGCTTTGCAAATTCCTCTACAGCAGAAGTCCTTCCCAGACAGCTCTTTATTCAAATTTGAGAAGGGGTAGAAATCTGATGGTGACAAATCTGGTGATTATTTGGAATGTTCAATGAGTTTAAGGGGGCGGTCGGGTAGCCTGGTGGTTAAAGCGTTCGCTCGTCACGCCGAAGACCCGGGTTCGATTCCCGACATGGGTACAATGTGTGAAGCCCATTTCTGGTGATCCCCCGCCGTGATATTGCTGGAATATTGCTAAAAGCGGTGTAAAACCATACTCACTCACTCACTCAATGAGTGTTACGACACAGTCATGCAGTGAAACCATGGCGACAACAGACTTGTGCTCAGGTGCATTATCCCGGTGGAAAGATGCATCATATAATATACAGCATGATAATTGTCATTACGTGTAGAATCTTTCATATTCACGCATTACGATGAGATGCAATACACAACTACTTGAACTGCTTCTGTCCTATTTTCGTTTAACGTGATCTTAGTGACAATATTACTATTTCATAGATGATCCCTTATCATTACCATGGGTTTGTCAGCACCACACCCATCGTCTCTGCCCCTTTCTTTCAGCCCATATTAAACTGACATACTGACTGACTGACATCTGACTAATATACAGTACAAACCAAAGAAAAAGCGAAAGTAATGTCCGTATGTCTCTATATGCATATTTCCTCCATGAAGATTATCCCAACAGCCAATGGGTGATGACCTCGCTTTTTCATTATAACGTAACGAAGTGGTTTGGTGCCCATCAGTTTTCAGATTGAGTTCTTAGTTTGAGAAAGAAAATATAGCAGAAACATTTTGATTTGTAGGATAATTAAGCAGTTCTAGTAAACACTGCCTATCTCATCCTGTTTTAAGGCTATGTCACTCGTGAAATAAAAAGCGAAAACACGCTTATTTGAACATAAAATTTCATTGTTATGTACGTGTCGCGAAAACAATTATCTGCTACAATTTGTGTAAAACACCTTCAACACAGGGAGTAGTCGAACTAACACTATCCATATGTAAATATGTTGTCGTGGTATCTGTTAGCTGGCAGTCTATAGTTCCTTGGGTCAATAGTTGCAAAGGAACGTGTACGGGTGATACATGTGCGAGAGCTCACATTTTGCTTTAGGAGAATGCCGTTCAATCTAAAGTAAATGATTTCAGTTTCACAAATTTCCAATATGTCAGAAATATTCACTGTTATGAAGTCGATCAATTTCAAAGCAATAAATATTATTTTCCACAATGATGACATTCATGATCAAGACAACTTGCAAAGATTCAATTAGGATCAAGCAAACCAGTGGTTGATATCGCGAGCAACAGTCTTCGACACCTTTAACACGCAATAAGCCAGGCCACACTTACTATGTACATTTGTTGTCTTTTACGACAAGCACGAAGTTCCCAACAAACACGTTTCTCCTTGAATCATCATGCATGGTCTGTTATTTTCACCCAATGGAGAAACTCGTCAATGTAGGCCAGCTTAAACAACATATGTCTACTTTAAAACAAGTGATGATACTAATCGTATTATTCATTATAGCATCTTTGTCTAAAGAATGTCACTACATGGTTGCACACAATGAACAGGTCCTCTTCCTGGTCTCTGCTGCAGTATGTGACGTTGGCGGCGTGAGCCTTTTATTATGTTTGCATCTGTATGGATTGTCTTCATGCATTCAGCATCGTGTGTAAGCGTCATCTGTATGACGCGTACATGCTTCTAATAGTATTATTACATACTTAAGCCGTGGTCAGGAAAACCGACACGAACGACACTTTTGTGAAATCTACTGCATATAACAATGAATAGAAACGTTATCTCCTTCCTGTGTGTGCTGCAGTATGTGACCATGGCGGTGTGGGCCGGTGTTCTGTATTTCGCCAGCCTGAGTTACGTAGCAGGTAAGTAAGTTCTTCACCCTTAGGTGTTTCAGCACCAGCTGCTAAATATCATTCATCTGGTATCAGACTATGTACCTAGACAGAGCGGTATTTCAGACGACATTGTTTTGTTGAACTGATATCTTCCAATCACTGGGTTATTTGGCGTTATTCAGGATAAGGAAAACATTATCCAAGCGAGTTCACGTAATACGCTGATTCGAAACGTTCGATAGAAAAGCTGGAAATGTCATCGTCAGGACAGTTGCCAATAATGGATATGTTTGGTGTGTTTTTGTGTCACTCGATAGCTATATTTATTGATATCTTCTGCATCCTTCCCCACTCTTAGAAATGATTCATTTATGGATGAATGAACGTAGAACTGTCAGAAATGGAGAGACTAGAAACACGATTATAATAGTGACGAATATCTATGTACGTTATGACAGTCAAGTGGTGTCACTGATATGTTTTGAAACGTGTCAGTTCACGGTGTTTCAAACGCAACAACTGTTTAGTGAACAGGACACTGGCTCCCTTTTACAGGTAATTTTAAAAAGGAGTATCACCTGTTAAACACAAAACGAGTCAGTCGTGTCACACCTACCTACATTAACCCTACCACGGCAAAATCACCAGCTGTTAGTGATTGTTAGTGTGCAGCATCAGTCATGATACAATAGTTACAGTGTAATCGGGATCGCATAATTCTCAAGAGCAAATGAGAAGTTGCACTTTAAAGCAGCATATTATTATGTCAGGGATAAGGTTTGTATAACTGACGCTGGTGTAGGAAGAGTTAGGATGTGAAGGTTTTGATACGGTGTCCCAAACACGATGGTCGAGGAAGTAATGTGTAATGTCTGTAAAGTTGGTGACACTGGGGTGACAAAACATTGAAAACACTCACTCATGGGTAGCCTACTCGGGTATCGTTCAGGAAGATGTTTGCACAAACTGGTTTTCCTTATGACAGTGAATATACTTAGTGATAGTAATGATTACATGACGTCACGTATTCTATATGAAATATATGGGAGAGGTGTGCTTGAAACAATATGTAATCTATTTGTGAAGTAATTATATTTTGATATACAGATTTGAGATGCTTGACCACATTCATCAAAATCTGTAACGGTAGTGACTGACACCACGACAGCGATTCGAAACACAACACATGGTAGCTGCTGCGTGTAGTCTGTTCCGTTTTCCTTTGCGGATTTGTCTTACCTTCAGGCGATGTCGGACTGTATCGTTACTGACTGCTGTTAATCTGTGAACGTATGTTCTATCCTTAAAATGTATGTCTGTGAACACATATACCGTCTATACAACTTTATGTCTGTGAACACATATATTATCGAAACAACTTTACATCTTTGAACACATATACTATCTGTGCAACTACGAACAGTCTGTTGAAGGGATAATACATATCCTTACACATAGGCATTCAGATTCTGTCGCAACCTCGTTTAAATTGCATCACTGTATGTTGAAAAAATATCTTCCTGATACTTAAGAGCATCGCTTGGGTGCTCATCGCACACAAACATTACCACCCAGCAGTGAAAGCTTGACACTGAGTAATCTTCTTCCTGGTTTAGGGTATCAGGGTAGTGATTCAATACCCATACGCATATATGCCATACAGCACGCGTTCACCTGTCCTCATGAATATTATCATAAACGTAGAATTGATCATAGTAGCATTTAGCTGTGCTGAGTCAACTACGAAAGAAATATCAATATGTTTCTAAAAACATTATTTTCTTGTAAGCAGCAAAATATCTGCATTTGAACACAGCA